ATTTCAACAAGTATATATATATATATATCAATACCATAATATTTAAACATAATTGATGATGAAATGTCCTCCAACTCATTTTACATATATTACAAAGTATATTTATATATTGCTGCAATGAATAAATACTGAAACTGAAGATAAACATTTTCAAAATACTTGCTTTGTTAACATTTTGATAAATAAAATGATATCTTTTACTACCACCGGTGCTATGCTGTAAAATACTAGGAACTTATTGGTGTCCAATTGTGTGATAAGATGTGTCTTTCCCAGTAACCAGTAAGTTGGTGACATAAGTTAACTTCTAGTTCCTTCGACTTTAGCTCTTAGAACTTCTTTAAATGGAAATAGTTAGGTTTACTTTGTATGTTATGCTCTGAATAAAATGCTTAAGTTTTGAGCCTAAGAGACAAGTCATGTGCAGACCTGACTTCTTTTCTAAGAATTCCTTGAGGCTAAAAGAGGTGATACTGGAAATGCATTTTCAAATAGTCTGTGAAAGAAAGGAAAATCAAGAAAAGGAGAAGTAAAGCAATTCTTTATTTTTTTTTCCAAATATATTAGACTCGATAATTTTGTTAGCATCAACAAAACTTTACCATATATCATCCAAATCAGGACATAATCGGAATCAAAAAGAGGGATACTAATAATTACACAAGTACAACAAGTATAAACTGCAATTTTTCCTGGGCAGACTGGATCCTGTAATCAACCTAGAAATTGGGATTAAACTGCAAGTACATGCAGAAATCATACTGTTCCCACACGTATGCGGAAAAGGTAAAAGTGTACTATTCTCTTGAATTGGTTTATTATGGCCACACTGGCTCTTTCTTGTCATTAAGTCCCAATGCTAATGTTACCTCCCTCTGTGTCACCTTCTGAGCTCTCATCAACCCACAGCTGTTTCTGTTTCTGCCCTATTTTCATCTTCATAATTGAAATGTTGACTACTGGATACTGTCTCTCTCTTTCTCCTCCACGCTTTCTTCCTAATACAGTGTACATATCTAAATCCCCAGGAACTAAACTATAAAAAAGAAAAAAAACAATGCCTAGGACAAAGAAGGCATGCAACAATTTTTGTTAAATGAATAAATCCAGAGAGTTTGTTTTTGGTTCTTCTTTACAATACCAAAAACAAATTAAAATGACTCTCCAAAGAATATTATGGCTCTGTATAGTTTTAAGGTGTTGGACTAAATGATCTATGCAGCTTCCTCCACTGCTAAATATTCCATACCCACTGGTCCCCCTTTTGTTCCTGCTAACATTTTATCATCTTCATCTGGCAAATAAGAACATTTAGTGATCAAGGGGTAGGGCAACTGCCTATTCACAGTGGATGGATGCTATAGTTGATCATTTTTCCAGTAATCATTCCCTGGTATGTGTTTGCACCTACAGAATTTGGTTGATACAGAGGTAGCCAGAAGATATCGTGGATGATATACTGTTGATGTAATAATTTGCCTCTAATAAAATGATCGCAAGATCACTAAACCATAAATACTGTGTGCTCAAACCATCCATCTGCGATTTACATATTAATGAGAAGTTAGCTAATTCTGAGCCAATTTCACTTGCAAACTCCAAAGAAATTATATAGGAAAACCTGTGCGAATATACCAAGAAGTCATTCAGCATTTTTTTTTTTTAAAAACTCCTCACCCTAAAACCTGTGTTGAAAATGTACTACTGATCAAGTTTGATTCCAGCCAGATGTTGGGGGTTGAAATAGAGTACTACTAAACTTATTTTGGAGGCCAGGGAGCCAAGGCATCAAAAAAGAAAAATTGTTCAACACCAAAACATGACCAGAAAATCCTGAGTATACTAACATTTTTAATTCTTGTGATTTTAATCTCTCTCAGGTCTGTGCTAAATTATGACCGACAGATCTGGGATGTTTTCCCCCAGATAAGGAACAAACCCATCCTTTCATGACAACTGGGATAAAAAGGAGAAGAGCATACAAGTCTCTATTAGACAAAGACCTTTTAGCATGAGTGCTTCGTCTGCTCCCTTGTACTGTCATATCTACTGAAAGATCAAGCCTTTTTTTTTTTTTTACAGATGACAAAAGTTCCAGAAAAAGAAGAAAACAATTGCAATCAGCTCATTTTGAAAGAGGAATCATTACCCTGTAAATAACACACAAATTCTAACACATTCAAATATAACCTGCCTAACGATTATTTCAATGATTCAGCATTTGTTCAGAGCTCATAGTTTTATTAGATTGCGTACACATCCGACTTAGAGATATTAGCTAGTCTAGGAAAAAGACTAATTGATGAATTGATAAACTTATTCACCTGACCCCGTTCTAGTGACTTCTAAAAATCATAAGAAAAGTTCAATGGTATGTACCAGGTACCGGCACACTCTAAAATTTACAAATGAAATACATAATCATGATGTCCCTGTCAGCGGTGCCATGAACACCACAAGCTTCTGAAAATCTTTCATGATAAAGTACAATTGAAAGATTCCATGACCTTAACAGCAGAAAACATTAAATCAGATTTTAAAGAACAAATAATTTAAGGCTAAAATATTTGGTATTCATAATCAATGCCAGCAGCCTTCCTATTCTAATAAAGTAAACATGCACAAGAAATACAAATTTGAACAAAACATCACAATTTTTATTAGGTATATATGTTTGTATGGGTATGTTATCTGTTTGTGTGTGTGTGTTCATATGTGTGTATGTATACATGTATATAATTTTAGTGCCCTGAAAGCTAACCACTCATGTTTGGCTTAATACATATATTAGAAATTATGGGGAGAATATCTCCACTTCAAATATATATTTATATATATTTTCAGAATATTCAATATAAATATGCCATATATAAATCATGCCATAAAACTAAATGCAAAATTTGCACATTATTGCATGCTTGATGTGATAATACATGCCCACTAATAACTTCCTTATGATGACCTCCCTTCGTAATTCAAGTTCTGCAAAGTAACAACACTGGAAAGAAGAGTTCTCAAATATCCTTGCTAGACTGGGATAGACCTCTCAGATTTCCAAGGGAGGATTATTTTGTAAGCCAAATATTGGACTAATACTAAATCAAAACTTTAAATAATTCCTAAAGAGGTGTTAGCTATGTGAAACGGTCAGAGTTCATTTTTCTTAGCTTGGCTGGAAGATTCCCTTCCATTCTGGCAGGTCCTCCAGCCATCTTTTGAAGCTTTGGTGGCAAATCTGCCACGGACTGACTCATGGGATCAGATAACATCTTGGTGGTTTTAGATACCAGTTTTTCTTCAGAGTTGCCAGGAACGGAACTTATTCGTTGGAGTTTCATGGGCAAATCACCCAAACTATAGGCTTTTTCTGAAGTTGTAGAACTCATCCTCAGGAGTTTTTTGGGAAAGTCTTCTCTCCCCGTAATTTTCTGCAGCTTTGTTGGTAGTTTTGTGCTAATGTCATCTAGTCCGTCTAAGCACTCCACGGAATTGTGTCTCTCTTTGCTATTGGTTATGGCTGGTGCTATTAAAGGGGAGGACATGAGAAGCATTTCCTCCTGCTCTTTCACACTGTATGGAGGGGTGGGGACTTCAAATGTTGCATGAAACTGGGAGTAATCAACTTTAAAGAACCCTTCTTCTAAAGAAATTACGGGAAAAAAACGATGACCCCAAAGAACTTCATCCTCAGTGTATGATGTCCGAGCTTGACAAGTCATCCCTGCAAGCAGAAAGAAATCTTTTAATGAATTATGAAAAAATTAGAATTAGAATGAATTAGAGGCAGAAGAAAAAGCAAGAATCAGTCTGTTCAGAGATTCATATGAGTAGACCCCACGGTATAAAACTTTAGAAATTTTACTCTATGTTAAAGCTGTACTGCATAGACTCCCACAGGAATACAAAAGGTGCTGGAAATGCTCAGATTGCATGATTCATGGTTCATTATCCTCAAACCAAGTTTAAAACCATCGAATAATGTTAGAATGCTTATGTATAGGACAAAACTGAAGGGGAAATGCTATAACCAGATCCATCATTTAATAAGCAATGTGATATGTCAAACATATCTTGCTTTGAATGCAAACTGTACCAGAATGTTAAAAAGAAAGAAGTTAGAAACTCTAAATCATTTCCTGTAGTGTAAAGTTGAACACACCGAGAATTTCATGCTGATAGCAAGAAATAAAAGTCACATAAAAACAACAAATCATACAGTTAATATGTGTAGTTGACTCTTATAAATAAGAGTTTTATATTCCTCATCAGTTAGTGACAACAAGCAAGAGGAGGTAGGAACACCAAAAATATCTGCCCAAAAATACTGATTAAATTAACAAATCCAGAAATTTCTATACTGGTTAATGGCAAGTCATTGTGGTAGTTCTACCTCTTTTGATCTACAAATTCTGGATAAATTTGGTTAATATTGTAGAAATATTGATGGTAAAATAACTTCTTTGGACCTCATAGTATATCTCCTTCCATTTCTATTCTAAAAAATTCTGGAAGTCATTCTGGATATAAGATTTAAAATCATGCCACATATATTGTGTTGCTTGAATATAATGTATCGCAAGGTACTTTGACATAACCAATTTTGTTTTCTTCAATATAATTTATTTACATTAAGTTATTATCTAATCAATCAACCTCTGAATATTTATTTGCCTTTGGAAAAATGAAGTCAAAAGTTAAAATCACACATCAGATCTCAGCTTTGTGCAAATCACAGTATGATTTTCTGTGAAAAGTAAAATGATTGCTTCCCTGCACTTTCATTATCAAACTTCTCCAAATGGCTATTACAATATAAAAGGATAGAACTAATTCTCTCTTCGGGATTAAGTGGAATCAAAAGAACGATGCCCATCTTCCTTCTTTCAATTATTCACATCACGCAGGTGATTTCTGTTGTTTTAAAACAGCGGAGAATGAATAAAGGAATTCTGTGCCCTTCTGCTGCCTGAAAAGCAATCACGCACAGTACTTACAGAGAATTAGGATTAAAGTCTGTCATTTCAAATATCACACTGAAGAAAAGTTAAACCCTTCACTGAATCCCTCCGTACTCTTGCCAAATGAACATTATCAGTCATATATCACAAGGTGCTTCGTAGTCATCATTACATCATCATAAGCCATCTTTCAGAAGGGATTGAAACCTTCTAATGCAGAAAATGAATGTCCATGTCATGATAGGCACTGTGCTAGGTGCCCTGGTTCTGCTTCCTTATCCTCTGTACAGTCCTGTTAAGCAGATGTGCTATGTCAAATAGAAAGATAACTAACCCTGGGCTCAGAGGCATTTTGAGCTACAGGGAACCTGATTTAATAAGCTGCAGAGAAAAAAAATGTCAGCATAGTTTTACTCTCTCTCCTCATCCGTTAATCCTCTCATCCATTCATCCTCTCTCTCCTCTCTCTCTCTCTCTCTCTCTCTGTCTGTCTCTCTCTCTCTCTGTCTCTCTCTCTCCTCTCTCTCTTCTTCTTCTTCTTCTCTACTTTTAATGATTAAATTAAGTGTCTATACCCAGCCATCACACTAACACTGAAATGACACATGCATGCCTATAGTGACAAAACAGCCCCTTATATATTCATATAAGAAAGCAATCCAATCAGTTCAAAAAGTTACTTCTGGATTTGACACACACTAGCACATCATTTTGTAATCTAAACATATTTATGATCCACTACTCAATACTTTTTATGAAAATGCTGGATTGATCTTTCATCATAAAAGATAAAAAGGACTCTCCTGATTTATTTGAGAAATTTGAAGATAAACTACCCAGAAAAATATTCTAATTACTAATGATACAGCTAATGATATTAGCTTGCCCTTTAATTCTCTTCTGAAAGGAAACCACTTTATATGAAGTTACAAAATCTCTCTTTATGGTTTCAATGGAGCTTTCTCACTCCATTTTTGCCACATTCAGGGTTTAGTACAACTGTGTGTCAAGGCACATTCTCAGCTTGCCAGTGTTCTGAATCTGTGACATCTTTGTCGGTTTGTAAACACCATTGTCCATTAAAAGTCTCAAATTACAGTCACGAGCTTTATGCAACGATTTCCAACAGTGAGAGTAAATACTGAAACAACATCTGATGACCACCCTTACTGAAGAATATCTTTTTTGTTTGGTTGCTTATTTGTCTTTGTTGAGGGCGTGCTGATAAAATAGTCACCACTGTGATGGATACTCTTGCTAACCCCTTACTCTTACTCCCTACTCCACCTCTCAAGCAACTCTTATGCTAGGTCATGTGCTTATGTCATTTTTGAACATATCCTGCTCACTGCTTGTGACTATGCAGGCCTTCTCTCTACCAGTACAAACAGTAGACAACTACTAAATTAGTGATAGACTGACAGTTTAAATGAGGACTTGAAATATCAAAGCCTTGCTATTTTCACCTCAAAAGCCCCCAGACCTGTTATTATACTGATTAACCTGAATTAGGTTGAATACATGACCTTAGTCTAGGGTACATAAAGGATTGTCTATAGGAAACATCAACGAGGTCATCTGTATTTTACCATTCTAAATTTATAATGCTGCAAGAATAAAACACATGCAACAATAACATATACCCTTTTTTTAATCTGTGAGCCAATGCATGAAATAAATCTTTTTTTTTTTTTCACAAAACGTTTTTCAGCCAAAGATGCAGAAGTCCCAGCTATTTCCAGCAGCAGCATCTGCTGCTTCGCCAGTTTCCACAGGGATGAGTGAGTGTTGATTTTCACCACATTTGTTCCAGTCTGGAATATGGTTAAAACATGCAAACAGTCATCTCGCCAGCTGAGAGGTGCAATCAAATAGTGCCCTTTGAATAATGGTGTTCACCTGAAAACACTTTTAATTCAGCTGATATCTTCGTTCGTGAATGTAAGTGTGGTTTATTTTTAAATAGTTTTAACTGAAAAAAAGTAGTGAAAAGATTGAGCAATTTAGAAGAAAGGATGCTATCATGCATACATATTCTTAGAAAACATAATTATATCAAATTTAAAGCTTCTCAATTAGAGTTTGCATTTTTAAGGACATCAGTTTAGGATAGATTTTTAAAAGCCGTAATTTGTTTTTTTAAATACACTTTATAAATAATACTAATCTAAATTTCCACTTCCTCCCCTACTCCCACTTCCTCCCTCCCCCCAACATCTTCCCCCCACCCCCTCCAGTTTAAGAGAATGCAAGGTACCTTGTCCTGTGGGAAGTCCCAATCTTAGTGGAAGGGAGAGTGCCTGAACTGACCTTGTCCCATAGTCACACTGATGAATTTCTTGAATATCCTCATAGAACCTTCTTCTGGTGACAGATGGAGACCCATATCGGAGCACTGGACTGAGCTCCCAAGGTCCAGTTGAAGAGCAGAGGGAGGGAGAATATGACTAAGGAAGTTAGAACCATGAGGGGTTAGTTCACCCACTGAGACAATATGCCTGAGCTAATGGGAGCTCACCAACTCCAGCTGGACTGGGAATGAACGAGTATGGGATCAAACTGGACCCTCTGAATGTGGTTGACAATTGGGGCAGACTGAGGGGCCAATGAAAAGCAGTAGTTTCTTAATTAGATCCTGGCTCATTGTCTAATGCAAGAAATAGGAGTCATAGCTATTTTTCTGTTACCCAATATATAAAACTTCTTCATCATTGTGCATATTTCAATTTCAAATTAGTAAGATTCTAAGGTGAGACTACATTTTAAAACTGTGATGTGTGTGGATTTGGGTGTTCTATATGTGTTCTTATAGCGAATGAAAGAATGGAAAAACAGAAAAAGAAAAACTAATCTTGATTTTCTTTGTGTCATTAATATGAAGTTATGATAGATTTATTTATTCACTTACTGAAAGCCTTTTTAATGAAAATCTAGTGTTCACACTGAGTCTCTCAGTTCATGAGACACGTGTAGAAACAAAATGTTGAGAAAATCTAAACAGTGGGAATATGAGTAATTTAACTTAATAATAGTGTTTAAGACAAAAATGACAAAACAAAATAAATTAAAGAGTCACAAATGAATAAAAACAAACTAACTAACTAACTAAAAATATGGAATTAATTTTATGGGTTAAGTACTCCTGGATATGGGACGTACCTTAGAGTGTGGTTGCCATACATAGTGACACCCCCTTGGAGAAAACTGATTTCCCCTTTGCCACAGGTAGCATTTTCAAATAGTTTCTTGTGTAGTATGACCCCATGGTGTCAATGTTTGATGTTTGTTTGTTTGCTGAACTTCTGAGAGATAAAGAGAGAGAAGGGAATGGCTGGGGATGAGGGGCAGAATGTAAGAACCGGAGTTTAGTGGGTAGGAATGTGTGGGGATCTGGAAGGAGTTTGAAGAGGGGGGAAATGCAATATTTACTGGATGAGTAAATGTTTAAAAATATTTTTAAAATATTTTAATTCTTTTTAAGTAGACAAAAAGTGATTGCTAATACCCAACATCTTTGAATATTATTTTTTCTGTATTTCCAATCTATCAAACTTTTCACTTCCATTCTGACAGTATCACAAATTTTCAGATGCACAGATAAAAATTATCGTGATGGAGGAGGAGAAGCAACCGCTCAGTCACTGAACATTTCAGCCTCTATGTCAAGTCATGAGAGGAGTTGTGGTTTGTAGTTCATAAAGTTTGGAGCAGCATACAGGGCTTTAGGAAAGTTTGATAGTCAGTTAGCTGTACAAATGGCAAC